CTTGCCAGGTTAATACATTGCCAGGTTGTAAGATGCTACTGGTCTGCCTAGGTTTCTGCCTGTTAAATTCTTTAGGTAGTCTGAATGCAGAGAAGGGATATCACTTGCTGCCATTATAAAGGAAGCCAATGATATACAGCAAATGCAACCCTTAAGACAGCAGTTAACTTTTGATCCTTTGGCTATGTTTGATAACTGGTTCAGCCCTGTTTCCTAAGCACTGTTCCCAGGGGACTGACAGCATCCACCTGGCACAGGAGTCCCTGTGGTAGGACAGGCTTTGGGGTTGCAGACTCCAGCACAGCCAGAACGTGTGGTGTTCAGACACAAGCCCAGCCAAGCTGCCTTCCATAGCGAGCATGTGAGGGGGACTCTGCTCCTGTCTGTGAAGATGATCTTTGTGCTGCTCCAGATCTTCATGGTCTGCCTGGTGGCTGTTGGCCATGGGAAAAGCTTGGCATTTTGGGGATTTATGATGCAGAAAGGCTGGCCAGCCCTAATGAAGGATTATAACTGTGCTCTGCTGAAGGAAGAAAAGCTTGAGGTTGGTTGACCTTTTCAATGTCTTTGATAAAGACCCTACAATTTTCACAAGGGAGGCGTTGTTATTCCACTGGGCAGATTTCACTTTCCCAGCTGTCCCATGGGTTTTCAGGAGCAAGTTGGTCTGTGGCCCTCAGCCAGCAAAGCACTTAGATGGGAGAACACCTCTCAGTCCATGGATCATCCTGCTGAATTTGTTAGGGCTCCTTATGCACTTCCAGGAAACAGTGTGCTTTGCTGGGCTGGGTCCAGCATCTCTCTCATGTCCCCATTTGTGTAAAGCTCTTTCACATGCCTTGAAGCCATATTAATATGCTAGATGGGCTATGGACACTGCCCAGGACTGCACTGCTTGCTTGAGTCATAACCAGACTTTCAAAAATGAATGAACAGTTTTGCTAAAAAAAGTTTTAAAAAGCACTGTTGTTTTGGGTTGTGAGCAATATGAGCATCAGGAAAAGGAGAGCTGCACTGTTCTGCTGATAAACACATGTACTCTTGTTTACTTCCTGAATAATAAAACTTTGAGCTCAAAGTTGGCAATGCTGGAGGGGATCAGGACATGGCTAAAAACAGCAGGTGGGAGCAGAGGAAGACATAGTGTGTTACCCTTTTTATTATGGATGGAACCCAGAGCCCCAAAGGTGGCACTGCAATAGCAACTTGAGCAAGCATGAGAAGATGGGTCAAGTGGAAATGTCGGGATAGAAGACTTTGTGGATGTGACAGAGACCAGTGTAAGCATCTAGCAGCAAAGGACTGCCAGGGATTAGGACATGAGACAAGAAATGTCCTGATGAGGGCATGCCTAGCTCTGCAGTGCAGCAAATATCTAAACACAGGGAACAAAGGAAACAGAACAGTAACAAGTGAGGTGAACAGTGATAATTCCAGAAAGCAATGGCTTTTGCTTAATGCTGCTGTTGGACAGATGAAGGGATACGCAGCAGCAGTGTTGACAGATTCATGGCCACCCAGCATCACTGTGAGGAACTATGTCCCTGCCTGGAAAGTGCAGAGGGTGTCATGGTAAATCCCAAGGCATGTGTTTCTGTTACTGAAAGACTGCAGAGAGAAGCCACCTGGGAGAGTTGTTGGAAACCAGTCTCCTAATCTGACATGGTCAGAGATGTGTGTAGTTGAAGGTTGAATGAAATTGTAGGAGACCATTTTTGTCAGTGACGGCAGTCTGTGAATAATTTTGTGAGGATTTAACCTTCATGTGAGGGATAAAATTGCGCTGTAGGTCATTAGAAAAACTATTCCTGTCATTGCTTGGAATGATGTAACTGGACAATATAACTGTCACAGGATTTGGTGAAGGATGGATGCTCTGAGGCTCAAAGAGGAAGCCAGTAAAGACTACAAGGTTTGCAAAGGAACACATGAGAGCATGATCCAGTGGGCAACAATGGCTCGCTCTGTGGGCACTGCTGGAGTTGGTCTGTCATCTCTTACCAGTGGATTTGTGTCCTGGTGTCAGATACTTATACATGTGTGTAATTTAGAAGGGTGATTAAATTTTGTGGCTGAGCCTGTTAACATAATTTAAAATAACAGTCATACAAAAACATGGCAGGAGAGAACTTCAGGAGGTCATGCAGACCACTCCTTGTCCCAGAGTAGGCTAATTGCACCAGTGTCATTGCTGATGTGTTTGAATAATTTGTCCCTAAGGCTATCCAACACTGGAAGCTCATAGTACCCTCAGGGAATTGTTTCCTCTGCTTCATTCTCTCCATTGCTGAAGAGGTTGTAGGATTTTTGTTCATGATATCTGATTTGAATATTTCTTCCTGGAATTTAAAACTTGATTGCAGGTGCTATTATCCCCGTATGGGCACTGAAAACCAAAAATGCTCACTCTCATTTATGGACTGCTCCCTCACACTTATAAAATAAGAGAACCAAGTTGGAGACATCCTTGCCATGCAAGGGAAATCAGTGAGGAAACTGGGCTTCCTCCAGCAGCACTGGGCTGACACAGAAACCAGAGAGGGCTGAGTAAGGAGATCAGCATGAAACACCCAGATTATACAAATGAATAGGCTGAAATGTTGCATGGCTCAGCAGTTCTCTGCCAGATACAGGTGTCTGAGAGATGTCTGGTTGCAGCAATCTTGTAATGAAGATCAGAGAGTTGAGAGGAGCGAGGCAGCAACTAGGGGAATTATCCCAATTCAGGGAATCTGAACTTTGGACTAAGAGTAATTTACAGGAAGAAAATGAGAGCAAAAATGCTTAATTGGGTGCTCTGGGAGGATGGACTATTTTTTGGCACAGTGTCACAGTACAGCAAGACTCAAAGGTAAATTCAGGGTCTTTAAGTGATGCTAGAGACAGATCTGTGAGTTGGCTCCTACCAAAAACAGTCTGTGGGACATCCATTTACCATGCACGTCTGTGGATAGACGTTGGCCATCATTCTGTTTTGCTGTGCAGGATGGGGCAAGGTGGGTCTCCTGCCAGTGAGGGGAGGAGGTGGGAGGTTGTGGGGTGGCCCAGCTCTGCATGTGTCAGGGCTCCAGCCTCCTTGAAGAGGCACATTTCTTGAGGAGCAAAGGGGCCGAGCTGAAGATGGAGCATGGTGACTTTTTGGCAGGTGGACACAGAGATCTACGGTGCTCCTGCCTCGGTGCCTTGTTTGAGTCTCAAAGGCTCTGACTGCTGGTGGGAATTCACCAAGGAGGAGGAGGCAGGGAAATCACAAATCTGTTATTGACTCCCTTTATTTTCTGCAACCCATCCCCAGCACTAACCACATTTGAAAATACATCTTCCAGGCTTCTTTTGCAATGGTTTCAAAAAACAGTCTTACCTCTGTAGAGACTTATTTTGCCAGCCCTATTTTTCCCTATATTTGAGTTTGCCATTGACATTAATTAGGACTTCCTTAGCCTGGTTAACCCGGTATTTTCCTTTGTTACGGAGAACAGCAAAGGTGACCTTGCTCGCCAAGTGAATTTTCTCAGCTCTGACAGTCTAATCATTAATGTCTTAGGAACAGAGGTAGGGATCTTACATGGGAAACTTGAGAAGAGCTATAAAAACATGTAGACAGCTGTCAGTGTCAGCTGGAATAGATCCAATAATTTAAAAGCAGATATGTTTCTGATAAGTCATTCTGTTCTCACAGAACACATGCCGGAACTCCACATGTATTACACATATTGGGTGCAATGGAGTGAAGTGCTATTTTTGTTGCACAATAAGAAAATACAACAAATACCTACATGTGTAGCTCAGTTGCAAGTGGCTGAACTGGGTTTACTGAGACTAATAACCAGCATTTGATAATCTCCATTTTATTATCCAGAAAAGTGGAACAGTGACCAGCACACTGATCTCTGGTGATAAGGTTTCAAATGATAGCTTACAGCATAGTGAAAGTTATTTTGGTGGCTTCACTCTAGTCCCCACCCATACAGTCATGAAACTGTAGAATCATTGACAACTGTATGTAGGAAGGGACTTCTGGAGGTCTTGTATTCCAATTCCCTGCTCAAAGCAGGTCCAGAGAGCATGCTGCTCAGGGTCACGTCCAGTCAAGTTCTGAGTATCTCCAAGGATGGAGATGATACTACCTCACTGGGTAACCTGGTCAGTATTTGACCAACCTCATGACAAAAAAACACAGTACGCTTAAAATATGAGTGGCAATCCCAGGGCAACAGAAACCCAGACATGGAATAACTGAGTTCTACCTCTCAAAACCAGGCAGCACCAGAAGACCTGTGTGGGTATGTTTCAAGATGCTATGATTTGTCTCACCTTCATAAGCATTACATACACTAAGATTAAAAGAAGTATATAAATACAGAAGAACATCGTATTTGCCCATAGCAGTCTTTTTTTAATAGAGTACTGTGAAAACACAACATTTTTAATTCCAATGTGTCATCTGTCACACGCAGTAAGAGTCTGACAACAGAAGAGTCGTCACGAAGCATTCACATTACAAAGGCACAGATGTGGGTAGCAGAGTCATACGCAGCAGCCAGCTGCACTAGTACCAGGCTTGACTTCTAGAAAAGGCAAACTGGGAGCTGCTTCTTTCCACTGTCAAGCACAGAAGTGTTGATACTGTTTCTGACCCATTTGAATTGCACACTTCAGCATTTCTACGGTGGATTTCTAAACAGTCATATCCAAATGGGGCCCTGATCCCTGTAGGTACTTCTGAACATTACTTAAGAATAACATACACAGCTTAATTTGCCACTAGCAGCTGCCACAAGCTACTGAAAAAGGCAGAATATTAAGACTATGCAAAACCAAAGCTGGGAATATAAATACCAAATGAAACACTTACATGTTGCTGAACATGCTGCCTAACATCAGAAACACGAGACAACAGCAGAAAGCCATGCAACGTATTTTGGCAGAAGCGCGCAAACATTTCACAGCTTGTCCCCTGGATGCCATGCTCACACTTACATTAGTCTGTGTCACACTACCTTAACTTGTTTTAAGCATTTCCATCATCTGTGAAGTAGGGAGGGAAAAACAGAATTGTTAAGGTATAATCAAATGAGATCTTGCACATTGTTGTATAATTTGTAAACAATCTCATTATTTGCTGTAGTGTGGAGGGTATGAATGGTTCAAGCTTCTGTCTCAATTCATCCAGATAGGGAACTTTCTGAAAGCCAGGTGAGTGATTCAATGAGTTAATAAGGAGGTAGATGAAAAAACTAGGGATTAACAGACAAGAAAATGTGACAGAACATAAACAAATGCATAAAAAAGTGAAGAATTTTTGTGTCTTACTGCATTTTTTTTGCTGTCATGACAAAATCAAAACTCCCAGTAACATATGTTGATCAGTGGAGAATTTTAAACACTATGTTAATTTGGCTACTTCAAAAATATATGAATAAAGATGCAAAATTAAAAAACAAACAACTGCAAATCAGAACAATGAACTAGATCAAAGATAAAACTGTGTCAGTTATCACTTCATTATGTACAGATCTACAGAAGTATTTCTTCTAGATGAGAAATTACAGTAATAAAATAAAAATAATACATCTATATCTTGTTGATACATTGCTCAACATTTCTGATTATACTTCCAAAATCATATGTACCATTTGAAAGACCCAGCCTACCAAATGCTTACATGCACAAAGTCTCCTAATGACTTGTATTTTAAGGGCAGTTATGCATTGTGTTTTTAATTATGCACCCACAGAAGCTCCAGTGAGATCTTGCACCCACGATGCCCTGAGAGAGCCCAGGGGAACCTAAAGATACTTTGGACCTCAAAGGACTGTATCTCCCATCACCTACTCCCATAAGTTATTGTGAATTTACAGTATTTCGCAAAAGTGTATAAACCTTTCATGTCTGATGAGGACAGATACTAAAAGTCACATACAAGCTGAAGGACTTGCATCAAGAAAAAATGTGTACTTGAACATCTATATATTATACTGGTGAACAGCTAAAAATCTGTAACAAGCATGGAAGAAACGAGTCTCTCCTGAGGTAGAGGCAGAGTAATCAATTGGCCTCAACTTCTGCTATTCAAGAGGAGCCTCAAAGGAGATGCTAAAATAGATAGAATTTGAGACACTATTCTAAAGCAATCATTTCTTAACTAAGAACATAAACCAATGGTTCCACCATCGCCTGAAAACTTTTGAAACAAATTTAAGAACTTTAGAGTAGATTTGACACATAAATCAGATATACATCAGAGTTGTCTTTTCTAGATGGGTCTAATGTAAAAAAACTGTAAAATACAGCAGAGAAATTACACACAGTAGCTGGAAATATCTTAATGCACTGACTACGATTGGCATGTTCCTGGTGAAAATGACCAAAATATTAACTTTTCTAAAGATTCACAGTGGGCAGTAAGATAAAAAAAAAAGTCTCTGTGTGTGTGTGTATATATATATATATGTTTTGTTTGGTTGGTTGTTTTTTTTAAGAATTTGCTGGATTTCTGTCTTTCTTGGAAGCTGTGACTGTTTGCATGCTGGTACTAGAGTGCCTCCATTGTCTTGTCTTCTACCATTATTTTGGCAATGAAACATGGAACAGATAGAGGTGCTGAAGGATATGCACATTGGTTGAGTACTGAGATACAAAGCAAAGCAGCTGTTTCATTTATAATGTTGGAAAAAATGAGGTAAAATAGCTTATTAAACAAGTCATATTGACATAATTTTACTTTTTGCCCTATTTTATTTTGATCCTTCTGCATTGAGAGAGCCAATGATCAGGAATTTGTAGCACTGTAATTGTGCTTGGCTCCCTGCCTCCTTCTGGCACAGCTTGGTTAAGTGGAACCGATGCTCTTTCGTGCAGATTAGGCTCCAGTCGTTACAATTCAGCAGCATTACACCAACTGGATACACTTGAGAAATACCTTGTAAAAACCAAGACCCTATTCAAGCACTGAGAAAGGCTCCCACGGTCTGCATGCTCTGCCTTTTCCCAGACACGTGTGCTTTCCCCAGGACCACCCGAGATGTCCCTGCCCGTCCTGCCCCAGACACGCCGGCCGTGCAGCCGCTGAGGGATGTGGGACATGCAGTCCCACCCCTTGGATGCTGTGAAGAAGACTCAGGGGACCTCGAGTACTTACTGCCTGTCCCATGGGCTTTGGTTGAGGCTCACCATTCCCATGGAAGGCTTAGTTATCACCCAGTTAGCATAAAACATACAGAAGTAGAGCCAATCTCACCACTCAAGTCTCCTGGGTGATCAGCAGTTTATTGTCCCAGGCAACATCTCCTCTCCGCAGCAGACTCTCCTGCCACCCTCTTAAGTCAAGGACTGTTTCCCCTCCATACATATGTATCATGTAGCCATAGTAAGAATAATTTCTGGCCCTTAACTGGTTAATAAACAATGTTTCCCTTTGGTCAGAGGTAAAACTCTTGTCCTTCCTTGAGTTCCTCCTTGGCGTCTTTCATTGAGGATGTACCTTTTGCTAAGCCTTACTTTCCGCATCAGTCTGTACCCCAAAATGCACATACGATATAGGTTTCTAAGCAGGTTAAGTGTATATAGCTGATGGCTGTCTCCTGAAATGAACCAGCACTTGGTGGTGAATTGGGAAGACTGATCCCCAACCTCTTTTCTTTGGTAAACTGCCAAAATGTGCATGAGATACTGGCAGGTCTGGGGCCATTTGGGGATGTGCCCACATCCATGTTTCTGTTGGGAGCCAGAGAACATTTCTGAGGTGAATTTCCCATTTACTGTGCTTGTTCCAGCTGATAGGGGCAACTGTGGGGCTGTCCTGGTTTTGTCTGGAATAGAGTTAATTTTCTTCCTAGTAGCTGGTAGAGTGCTGTGGTTTGGATTTGGAATGAGAATAATGTTGGTAACACACTGATGTTTTAGTTGCTGCTGATCAGCGCTTACACTAAGTCAAGGACTTTTCAGCTTCTCATGCTGCCCTGCCAGCGAGGAGGCTGGGGGTGCGCAGGCAGCTGGGAGGGGGCACAGCCAGGACAGCTGACCCAAACTGGCCAAAGGGATCTTCTGTACCCTACGGCGTCATGCTGAGCAATAAAATGGGGGAACTGGCTGGGGGGGTGGCGGCCTGCTGCTCGGGGACTGGCTGGGCATCGGTCAGTGGGTGGTGAGCAGTTGCATTGTGCATCACTTGTTTTGTATATTCTTCTATCATTATTATTATTTTCCCTTAATTTTCTGTCCTATTAAACTGTCTTTATCTCAAGCCATGAGTTTTACCTTTTTTTCCAGTTGCCTCCCCACCCCACTGGTGCCACGGCTGTGTGGTGTTTAGCTGCCGGCGAGGCTAAAACACAACGGGGGCCAAGCGGGAGCTCGGCTGGAACAACGTCCTCTCCACCACGCCGCTGGCAGAGACATCGGGCCGCCAGCACAAGCTGTTTCACCCTGCAGCGCTGCTCCTACTGCTAATGTAGACGTTGCCTGAGTGAATCCTGCTGACTTGATTGATCCTGTTTAAATTAATGCGACTGTTTGTATGAGCAAAGTTGACAGATCTGGCCCTAAGTAGCATTTACTCCACCATATTATTTGGCGTATAAGTCAGCTGTTTGGGGCAGTGGTAACTGTTTTGTTACCACTGTGAATTTAGGAAAAAATATCTTAAAGTCACCGAAGAAAGTCCATATTTACAGTGGAATAACTGATGTTAACACTGGTTTTATTTAGCTGTGTAGCACAGCCTTGCTCTGGAGCTAGTTTAATGGGAATATTCTGTCTTTTGAGATCCTTGGATTTAGGGCAATAAGTAGAGGTAATCAAGTTCATTATAATCCCTTTCTTCCAAAATATCATATATGTCGGTGAATTATGCACTTGGTTACATAGCTGTAAATCTGCATGTCACTTTGTACCCAGTGGCAAAATATTTTTTTAGCATTTTTAATGGTTACAATAAGATTCTCCATGATGTATGTTGCAAGTAGTAATTTTTATCTAGAAATATTGATGACATCCTGCCTATGGCAATGAGCAGGTTTTAATACAACAGTAAAGCACGCCCTGTCTTCTTAATTAGTCTCCATTGATTAAACATGCAGATTATTTACAAAAAGTCTAACACAATGGAAAGGAAGAATAACTAATGCAACGGCTGTATTCCCAGGGTCACATGCAATTCATCTCTACTAAGCTAGCTGAGCCTCTATAATCTCGAGGCATTTTTGAAATAATAGGGGGAAAGCTTTAGGTTAAGCATATTTAGTATAAAAAGTATTTGTTTAATTTGTTTCTTAAGATGAAATTTTCCTGTTCTTGAGGGAAAAGGAAAGTACTCGCTGAGTTAAAGTCACAGACATCTTGCAGTATGACGCAAGAAGACTCAGCGGATCGCTAATGGAAACAATCTTTATGATGCTGAGATTTTGTAGTTTATAATTAAACATCACAGTCCAGCCCCTGTAACCTGTACCATCCTCACATGCCCTATTTTACACATCACAGCAATTAGTGAAGTATATAGCATATATTTAGACGAAGGCTTTCTGTCAGGAGCTGGTGATGTAGTGACTCAGCAAGGCATCATCAGAAGGCATTTGCCAGTGCTAAGGCTTTGTACACCTCTGTGGGGGCTAGACTTGTCAGATTAATACAAGAGGCTATTTTTGTAATATCCAAAAAGTTTCTGCAGTACATCAAACTGCGCTAGCTTCTTATTTTAGATGACAGCAATTCATACATTTTTCTCGAACAATACAGTCTTTAACACTTTTTGGGTATGTGCATCTCCTAAAATGAAACTTTCCTGTGAAGCATTCTTTAGAAGAAGGGCTTCCAAACTGAGATAATCAGAGACACTTTCATCAGGTGCTTCAAACACAGAAGTGAGTTAACAGCCCACATACCAAAGGTAAGTAGCAGTCGTGGCAACAGGCTGTCTGAGTATTGGGGAGTACTCTGAGGATGTGATTTGGGACAACATAAACATCAGGATTCATGCCCTGCTCTCTTCTGCCAAGTTGGGGTTCAGCCCTGGGCAGTGCCAAGTG